AATTTATCATCTATAATGAATCCCAAGTATTTGAGTTGTCGACTCTTTTAATAATGTTCCCTTGAATCGTAATCTTGGAGGTCTAGTCTTTTTCTTCCCCCATTTGGAAAAACAAAAAAAGATGTCCTTTTGTAAGTTGAAGATGAGTCTTTCTGTTATAGCCCATCTCTCAAGATATCACACACCAATGTAAATCTTTTTCTAATTTCAAGAGACACATCGTAAACACACAAAAGTATGTCATCTGATAAACAGATGATTTCAACGCCCTCGGGAAGACTCTATTCAGCAAGTTGTAAATTACTGCCCAGAGCAGCGGAGCACTCGAGGATCGCTGTGGGCAACCTTATATAACTGATTTAAAAACCACTCAGAATCCCCACCATATGAATAAACAACTTCGTATTGTGAAAGTAGCTACAAAAAATTTTTAATATATTGCAAGGAATCTTAAATTCACGAGGGTGGAGAGCAGCGATGACCATATAATGGAATCAAAGGCCTTTGAAATATCAAATGAGGACAACAGTTACATGATAATCTCTTTTTTTCTCAGAAATAATATTGATCATTTATATAAAGCATCATTGGTTGATCTGCCTGCGACAAGCCAAACTGTCTACCGAAATAAAATTTTCTGTAGAAAAAATAATACAATCTATGGTGAGAAGTCATCCAGGACCTACTAAAAAATTTTACAAGCAAATTGGTCTAACCGCATGTTCATTTTTCGTATATAAATATAATTCTTGATATTTTCCACGCCCTCGGAAAAAACTAACAAGCGGAAACATGTATTATATAAATAAAACAAAAAAAACTTCATAATACTTATAAAGGCACTTCACAACCACTGCAGAAATGTTGTCCAGTCCAAGCACTTTATTTCTTAGTTTTATTAATTACATATCCGATCTCATTAGAAGTAAAAGGGCAGATCATCAGCACAACATTTGAAAATTTTAACAATTCATGATCAATAATACCATCCTCAAAACTCACCACAGTCAAAATTCTTATTAAAATATTCCTCAATCACCTCAGTGTATTCCTTATGTTCACCCTCCTGAACTTACTTATTATCTGTGGTAGCCGACGCTTTCCCTGGGCAAAACGAAAGTAACAGTCATGATATACCTTTTTCCAAAAAATGTTTAATTTTATTCTCATATTTTACTCTTCTTAATCTGCTTCTATAAAGTGCCATCTCTCTTTTATATAAAACTTTTCTCTTATTTCTTATTTCTTCATCAATATCTCTGAACTGAAAACTCTTTCTCAATGCTCTCGCCCGTCGCTTCATTTTTTGCAAACTCGTATTCCACCAATAGTTTTTCTTGACCTTATTTCCACGTATAGTCAGGTACCTCTTAGCCCTCTGGACAATCAACCTTTCAAAGTCATCCACAAAATTCTCCAAATTATTTTCATTATCTATTGATCTCAGTGGATCAGATTGTATGTGGGTATGTATGTGCGTGTATATACACATATATGTACGTAGACAGGTACACATGTGCATATACATGTACATACATTCCTGAATCCAGTGCCGAAAGCAGAAGAGTACCAAATATTTCGACAATATATTTTAATTCACTGTATACTACCACAATTATATTAACACAAAATTTATTTAAAAATATTTTAACATAATTCGGATTCCTATAATTTTAAATTGAATTGAAAACTGTCCGAAATATCGAAAGTGTTTGTGAAAATGAAATTTGAAATACTAAAGAAAAGAAATGAATCTGAGAACAGCAACTGAATCAAAAGAAAAAGTGAAAAATAAGTAAAAAATTGAAGTCTCTACACCGTATTCGCAAAGAACTATATATATGTGCATACATTTCTGCAAAAAGCCGCTGATGAACAATTTTTGTTGGCTCCTATTAATTTTAGACATTTCAGTAATTTTTTATACAATGGTAGTCATACATCTCGTATTCTAAGGTTTGTAATAAACACTATAGTCTTCGTTTGATTAGGACGAGATATGAATGAAAGTAGATTAACAACTGGCTTTTTTTTGCCGACTGCTAACGTTTGTTTCAAATAGCCGACTCAGGCCGACTGCCTGAGTTTGTTTTAAATAGGTTACTGCAAAGCACAAAGCGCTATTCCCCTAATGGAAGGGATGCCTTTATGGATAATTTTCTAATGGAACCTAGCTGTCATTCACGTTCAACATAAGATGAAACCGTACAAACGCCTCTGCAGCTAGCCCATTGGCCGGAATTAAAATTTAGTTCCAACTATCATAACTTTAACAATTTTTTCATTATTTTGCTGTTTGCAAACTTTCTGATTGTTGTCAACTGACGCGTGATCTTCGAAAGTTATATTATCGGCTTACCTATCTAGCGCTAAGAGAATAACAGACATCGTCTCATGCAACAAATACACTACTCTGCACAGAAAATGCCACTGCTTTGATAAAATATTAAACGCGGATCGAAATTTAGAAACATTCATATGTGTAGGTAATGAACAAATAATTTTCAACTATCAAACTACTGCCCACTTGCAATGAGTAATTCACATGCCTCAGTGGGTCATATGACTACAATATCATGTGATACCGAGTAGGATGTGAAGTTCTAGAAATATGCGCCGAGAAATTATATCTAACATGTGGTGCTGATTAAGATCTAATCTTCATTCCAGCAATATCTGACATAAGCATATAACCGATTCCAATATGTCTAACCCAGGGATTCCCAACACTATGCCGAAGGGCACCATCGTGCCCGCCGATCGTTTAACGTGTGCCCGCCGCTGTGCGATCACAATAAAAATGTTTTAGTTTTCAATAAAGTTCTACAATGAAAATTTTCAACAGAAATTGCGTCCAACACAGATACCAGCCAAAGCGAAATGCGACTGATTGCTTTTTTATGTGCATGTATTATTAACTCTATCCAACTATAAATTCACCTTGAAAAGGTAAATGGTGCCCGCCGTCCAACAGATATTCTAGAATGTGCTTTTAGAGACAAAAAGCTTGGAAATCCCTGGTCTAACCGATTCAAAATCAGAGAGTGTTTATGGAATCTTCCCTGCCAAAAAAGGAACATGAACTACTTCTATGTATTCTCTGCTGATGTTAACCGTGTGAGACTGCACTTTACCATGTTGAAAACTGGTATTTATGCGGTAGGCTCAAGAAGGTCTTAATACTTCATAAAACAGCAGCGTGTTGTGATTTATACTCGTTACGTGATCTTCACTTAAGATGCAAGTTCTATTTCAGCTAATGTGTTATTTTTATCTTGATTCTATCCTGTACTTTCTAGTTTTTCTGCTAGTTTTCACTAGAATGCGAACTGAACTTTTAGTTCAGATTCACAACTTGGGCTACGCATTCGAAAATAGTTTATTTTTTAAGTGGTCCACCATTGTATCGATCTGGTTTAGTTGAGTGACTTTTTGAAGCGATTAATGCTTAGAGATAACAGTCTAATACAGCTGCAATTAGTATGGAAGCTATTTGTTGTAGCTGTTTTAAACATTTGTATTTATAACACCTCGCAAATGGTCTCAGAAATTCAAATCTTTTAAATATCAAACAATAGCGGACAAGTTTTTTTGAATTTTAGTTGTACCTATGAGACGCAGCTTTAATAGACCTCGTAATTGTATTTTATTTATTTTATGTACTTTTTGAGTTTCATACTTCTAGTTAAGTGCAAAGATGAGAGTTCTTTGAAAGCACAAGAACCAGGATGTAGTTTAATACTTACTTATGTTTAACTTTAGAATGATAAAGTTCATTTCTTAACTATCGAAAGCTATGTTTATCTCTGTTTGCAATTCAGTTATTGCTTTATCATAAAAAATTATAAGGAAGCGAAGTAAAAAAAAAAAAACTCGTTTTCTGGTCTTAGAAGAAATTTTAATTTAAAACCTCACATAATTTATATGAAATGTATGAAAGTAAAGTTCGGTGAATAACATCATACGATGTACACACGCAGTAATGAACGAACATGAAGCGCCGAAGAGCTATTCTGTAACTTGTTTGAAGATGTCTAATCCTGGCATAGGAATAGGCGTTATGTTTTCTTCTTGGTAACACTCTAGCAGTAGTTGTAAAATGAACCATTGAATGATTAGTTTACAGTCGCCTGGAAGCTCTGTAAGCATGGTAAATATGCGGGAAAAAGTCATAACAAGCTGAAACAAATTTATGGATACGAAGCTCTTTTTTTAAGGATGGATTTAAGAATGGTTTAAATGTTTCCGGGAGGGACGGTGTTCCAATGACTACACAATTCAAACCGGTGGGCCCGTAATATTTCCTAGTGGCAAAAACACTAAAAAAGAAGATATTAGCTAGAAAGAGCAACAATGAATGCTACCATAATACAAAGATTTTCTGGCAAATCTGTAGCAAACAGTGTTTTATGTATGTCCAATATACGCCGAGACGGGCAGTTGGTTTTTTCCACCGGCCACAATTTGCCAAACTCTGGAATCAGTTTAGATCCTATAAAGTAGTAGCCCTCTTTTACTCACCTGATGTTACTTCAGCAGACTTCTTCTTTTTTGTCAACTTAAACGAGTGCTGAAAGAGAATGATTTTCGGATATTCCAAACATTCAAAGCCATGTGACGAGGGTTCTCATACTCTACCGAAAGAGAAATTTGCCCGTAGTTTTCAGGAAAAGTATAATCTTAAAGTTTGCAATGAACTTTGTCGGATCAAAAGATCATTACAAACTACGAACGTTGGTTTGGAAGAATGCAAATTTTTTTTTCTTATTTAGGTGAGAATATTTCGTTTATAAACACATTCACCGAATTTTATTATTATATATTATATATTTAGAACCGCATATAACTTTCAACGTTAATTCTGTACTTTCAATCTATACTTGCTTTAAACTAATTTAAGCATCTTTTAACATATATTTCTTTACTTTGAGTTGTCATTTATAATTTATCATGGTACAAGTAGTGACTATGTATACTACAAAGTATATGTTTGTTTTTAGCTACAGTTCCTCCTCTGATATCGATGATGGGCAGCAGCAAAGAACTCTTTCAGAAATTGAAGATAATCATTCCTGTAGCCTGTACAACAATTGTTCTCGCTCTCATAATAATAGTGGCTTGCATTGTCTTCATACGAAAGCGCAGAACAATCCCAGAAGGTAAGGTGGGATTCCTATAGGAACTAGAGATTTATATTTTTAACATTTTAATAAATTAAATGAAGCGTGCATTATGAAAGGATGTCTGTAAAATTAGCATTTGTTTTCAAATGAAACATATGCGATGTAGGAGTTTGACTGCTTGTAGATTATTACATATGTTAGCATGTCTCTAGTTGTTACCTCTTTATAAAATATACTAGAGAATAAAATACGTATTGGAACCAGGGCACCAGATTATGTGATTTATGCTTTAATTATTAGTTTTAGAAGTAATACTTAGAGAATACACTGATTACCAACAAGTTTTACTAGTAAAGTTTCATCGTGGACGTTTAATACTGCTTTTAAATAAAATGCAAAATTTATTACTCAAAAACAACACTAAATAGGTATCAATGTTTATCCCATAGAAGTTGTATCCTAATTATCTTTAAAGCATCAGCATATATGAAAGAAGGCGAGTGACTATGCCGCTTGTAATCAGGAAACACCAGTCATGCATGGAGCAGTCAGTACAGAAAGCTGAATGTAATCAGGAAAGCGCTTTTCTAAGTATGCACAAAAATCTCATCGGAAAATACTGCAAATAAACTGAATTTACAAAGTAAGCCACATTGTAATCTGCGTCGTATGGAAGAGATCCTTTCTTGATACCAAAATTCTGAAAAAAGCAACAAATTAGGAAGGAAAAAAGTCAGCAATAGCAACTCGACATTGATTGAATAATCTGGAACTATTTATCCTTATAGAATAAATAAAAATACCGTTAGATTAAACTTGAAGCCTAGAAAACAAAGAATTAAATGTCACTTATCTCAGCTGCTGTAAAGCCCAATGAACAATTAAATTGAAAGATTCATTGATATGCGGCCTGATAAGGAATCCATCTGAGTAGATACTTTGTTCAAGAGGATCGCATTATTTCACATTATTCATTCTCTGGCATTTTCGCCTTCCTGTTGATGGGGGCCAAAGGCATTAACATTCTCAAACGCGTTAAAAGCTATTTTATGTTTTAAAAGTAAAAGTTTTTGTTTTTCTTTTTTTTAATCTGTGGCTGTTGAAACCTGCCTTTGTGCTCCACTTAGATTTCCCCAAAAATACAAAATATAAGATTTCTTTATTAGTTAAATCTACTATGTAACGAATGAAACACTATAATTGAACTAAACACCATAACTGAAAATCTCAAAGTTTGGAAATTATGTATAGCAAGCCTCCATCACTTTTCCTCTCAAAACTGATATTTTCTACAGTCCATAAGACCTAAGAGTATGCGTGGAATTCACTATGACGCATTTACTAAAACAATACAATTTTGAAACTGTTGAAACTTGTCATCGTTTGACTAACATGTTATTCAGTTCATCACCAACTTTCGTAAATATCGAACGCATTTTAGTACCGATAGAAGATGAATATAGATAATCAGTACAAACGTTCTGTACTACATTTTTTTATTTTCGTTTGGTGTGCAGCGGTGCCAGGTGTGCAGCGATAAAAATTAATAGTGTACATGGTGAATACACTAGTGTAAGGACTGCCCAAAAATAGTTTAACAAATTTAAAGTTGAAAAAAGCAGCATTGATGATGAACCCCGTCCAGGACGTGTTGAACTGTTAGAACCAAATCAAACGATTAATTCACAAGTTTATAGTAAACAACTTTGCCGTCTAAACTCAGAATGGATCAAAAAACGTGCGCGATTGGTAAATATCAAGAAAGTGTTGTTTCATCATGATAATGCTAGATCGCATACGGCTCGAACAAGTGGTGTAAGTGAGTGGAATAAGTGGTGTAGTGAATTTAATTGGCAGCTTTTGCCACATCCTGCTTACTCCCCAGATATTGTCCCAAGTGATTTTCACTTATTTCGTGCCTTACAAAATTTTTGCTGGGAAAAAAAATTAAATTCTAAACAAGATGTATGCAATGAACTTTCAAGTTTTTTTTTTTTTTTTTCCATCAAAACCAGAGCTTTTTTACAGCAAGGGCATAAAAAAAACTGCCTATAAGATAGCGACACATTGTAGATAATGGAGGAAAATATATAATTGATTAAAACGTTAAAGTGTATTTATATTATTTTTATATTATTTAAAAAATTACCAAAAAAAATGCGCACGAACTTATGGACTGACCCAGTGCTAAAATTTTATTATCGAATATCATATTTAAGGACCTCCCACTCCGATCTGAGCAACACGAGAGGGATTTAAAGCACTATGACTGTAGGTGCATCTTACCAGCGTACATCCAAACACAGAACAGCTATGCTGGAATCGGCAAGCTCATCTATCTCATTAATGTGAATACCATCATTTATTTAGTTTTTATCTAATAGGATAAAGATTATCCAGACTCAAATAGCCTAGAATTATTAAAAAACGAATACAAATGTCCTTCCTTTAACTTAATTACTTAATACTGATATAAAAATTAAATAAATTTCCATTAATTTTAATTTTTTAAATGTAAGTATGTTGGTAGTAACATACTTTAAAAAAGTTGCTTTCGATCAAGAGAAAGGTGGTCCAAGAAATATTCTATTTTATAAAAGTAGTTCCCATTTGAAAAAAAAAAAAAAAAAAAAAAAAAAAATGCGAAACGCTGACCATTAAATTCCTGAATGCAATCTGAAAGAACGTCTGCAGAGCTCTTAAGTTATGATAGGCATACTTTACAACCGGTGTTAAATACGTATGCTACGAAAATTTAATTACAAATATTAAATCCCCATACTCTTTTCAATAAATTCCAATAAATTTTTAAATGGGCTTAAGTGAAATGATAATAAAATCATTGACTCATTTACTTATATTAATTGATTAAATTACAAAATAATTGCATCGTAGGTTATCATCATACATCACAAGTAAACGCATTGAATCTAAAGAAACGCTATCATGTTTTTATTCATAATTTTAATTTCATGCGACATGCCAGTTTATGGATGCACTTAAAAATCTCCTTCAAGATTTCCTTCATTAAAGAGCCTAATGTCATATATTACAGCTAATCGCTTTTCGAGTTACAGACGAACGTCGGAAGGCAAATCTATTTTTAATTATACAGATGGATTATAAATTGCTCAGAGAGTGTTTTTAGTTGTACTTAATAGATAAGGGCGCAATAACGGTAATGACGTCAAGAGTAATGAAAAGCCGCGATTAGCATGGTAATGGTCACATAAAACCTTTATTATTATTTTCGTTGTTGTTAATGGATAGATATTAAAGCTTGTTTTATGGCGTAAGATGTACATTGCCCCGAAATAGTATAAAAATTAGCTTTAGCTACTTTTGCAGATGCAGTAGACCTGGAATATTTGCACTACAAGGGTTATAGAAATTCATGTCATCCGTCAGATTAGCAATACGCACTGGAATACTTGTATGCTATTAGCAGAGGGAATACATGTAACATGCACATCGCGTCGTTTTAATTATTTCCATGATTAACCTTTTAGGTTATATTTCGTATTAGGAAACTGCTTTAAAAACAGTCACTGCCTTTATATTTCAATAGCTAAGAAGGAGCCTAAAAGCATATTTAAATTAATGCGTATCTCTTACGAATAGAATTATTTTAAAGCAAAATATGCTACCATACTCATTAAAGACGCTTAGAATAAAAATAAGTTTACTATTTCCAGTTCTATTTGCGAGATTATGTAAAATCCTGTTTTGTTTTCACCCAGTTCCTTAAAGTAAATAAGATTTAATGTAGGTATTGTTAGTTCTACTATAATTAGCATTCTCGTTTTGAAAATACCAAATGTTCGTTGTTGTAAGAACGCTTTGAATTGTTCCAAAATCTCTTGAATCTTAGTTGATGCAGTTTCCAAATGTAAATTAATGTTCCCTAATTTTTTTTTAATTAATTCTCTTTCATAATGTCAAACAAAATTAGCAAATTTTCGAAGAAAATTAACAAGCATGCTTATTATTTTTAATCTTACTCACGTTTTAAATCATACTTGGTTTTCTTGTAATTGTCCTTGCTAATTTAAGACTGATAGCTTGCTAATTTAAGACATGACATACAATATAGCATACATTTTTAAATATATTTTTTCATATAATATATTTATTTCTTAATAAATAATCTTTTAATTAATTTTTAAATTTCATAATTATTCGTATAAAATTATTTATCTCATAATTATTCATATACATAAAAGTAATTCATAATTATTCATATAAAAGTGTGTGAAATAAATTTTCCTAAATGCTGTTAATATTTCAAAATACAATTTCATGACAACCATATTTCGTAAATGACTGTCTCTAATATTTACCAGTGCATTTAATAAGTAATAATCTAATAACTAATAACTAATAATTTCCAATGCATCTAATAAGTAAATGTATGCACTAAATATCATCTGTAATTATGTTCTCTAAAGCGACCACGTTCAAAGAAATTGGTCAAGTGTTAATATATGAGTGGTTTTAGTTATGTACCAGTTATTAAAACATATTTCTTGTTAAAATTTATTATATATTCTAAAAGGTGTTAATTATTTTTCATTTATTATGATAATTTATTAATGTAGGAATGATACGCAGGGCAATATTTATCTCATAATGTAGCCAAGGATTTTAATTAGCAAGTGCACATAATCAAGATTTTTATTAAATTATTATTTTTATGGTATCTGCATAGGATTTACACCATCATAGGACAAACACTATCATAGAACGGACATCGGCATAGCAGCAGATTTCGAACTAGCTTCTTAGCCGAAAGGCTGTCGGGTCTACCAAAGAATTTGAATGGTAACCTTCTTTGAAAAGTTCTTTGGTTCGACAAAGTGTCAGCTATGTGCCGCATAACCATCGAAAAATGAAGGTGACGACCCGGCACCTTTCTCTCTGTTCACTGCCGCATACTCTATTTACCGCTCGCATAATTCGCAAGTGCACATCAGTATCGCCACTGAGGGAAAGGTTCAAAAATTGGACCAATGAGCTTCTACTGCTGTTGTGAAGTTGAATCTTTAAAAGTGTGCATAAGAGCACATGTTGTTGTTTACGTTCTGTTTTGCATTTGTTTCGCAGTTATGTACAGAGTATAAATGCTGCTTCCATTTTAGTAGAAAATCTCGTAGTGCTTTAAGTTTATTTAATCGTCAGCATTTCACTTTCGCGAAACTTACCACACACTAATATTCGGATTAATGTTCCTCGTATATTATCGCTCTTTACATCGAGAAAATAATTCAAGCTACAATTAGTCTCGAATAATATGTATTTACTAACACCTGTGGATTTACAGAATTCTAGTGTATATTTTTTTAATTGAGATGCTAATACTTAGAAATGTTACAATGAATCTAGTATTTTCTTATCTCAATGTTTGCATTCCTTTAATTTAGAAAGTTTAAAATTCAAAATATGTATTATGAATGATCTGATTATTCTTATTGTTAACGTTAAAAGTTATTTATGAATAAACTGAATATATTCGTTGTGAATACGATAAATTCATTATGTTTGAAGAGTATTTCTTGTACAGGCAATGCACTTATACTGGAAATGCACTTGAACAGTTATTAATTAAAATTTTACACTAAATGTGCAGAAATGCAAATTTAAAATGTTCACTTTGAATAAAACTGAGTATTGGCTATTATTATAGAACATTATTTTCATATAGATTGCAATAAAAAATACCAAGACTTCTACTATTTATATGTATAATTATGCTTCTTTTTGATCTCACTTCGCACTGAAACTTTTCACAAGAAAACCACGATACTTTAATTATTTTGTACAGGAAATTGCGTGACAAAACATTTTCAACCATCTGTGCGGCGAAAGTCATGTGAAATAGCAAAAATATTACTGAAAGCCCATTGGTCCACTCTAGAAGCCACTGCCTCGGTGGCGATTCAGATGTGCACTTATATGCGTACCGCCCTCTAATAGAAATATGCGTACCACCCTCTGTTATGCGCGGTTACGTCATCAATCATAATAACCGTGAATTCTCTGACACTAATAGAGTTGAACCTTATTGTAATGAACTTTTAAAACTGTGCCATTCTTTCTTGTTGATCCTGCATAAAGAAACTGCTCAAAGCACTTCTACTATAATGAACCCTTACGTTCCCGCCGCCCCTCCCCTTGAATTCTATTAATTTTATTTGGCATGCCATTCTTATCCACTGACTCATTTTATTTTTTCCCTCAAGAACCCCACCAGGAGGGAGATATCTCCAAACCTGTGGACACGGTTCCAATGACAGTGTGGGAAAAGACTGGAAGACAAGACGCCAGGGCATCGCAAAGCAGAGAGCAGCTCTACTTCCCTGCACCTTACGCTGTTACTCCTCGTATTTCCATGTACTCCGCGGACTGTGATCCAGATGCCATTCATAATCAGCAACAGCAACCACAACAACAAGAAAACTCCCGCACGTGGAGACCCGAAGAAAGGGAACACACGTATGATGTTCCTTTTGTGCATAGACATGTGACACGAATCTAGGGTAGAAGTCGGTTGACGGCCCAAAACTTTAATATTATTCCTATAAATGGAAAATAAGACCAACTGACAACTATGTGTTTAATATTCAAACAAACGGAATATACATATATTTTTATATTGATGGATCAGGTCGAAACCATGCTTTATTTCTTATCGCGGAATTCGAAAATGGCATGGTAGTCTCCGAATTGAAAGAGCAAGAAATGTTACGAACCTGATATAAAGAAATTCAGATTCTAAATTAAGTAAGTAATAATTCTTATCGGACAGGATTAGTTGTAGGTTTCAGGTTTTTATCTAAACTCTGCAAAAGAGAGACTACTTTATTAATATTTCAGAAATTCCATTTGAATTGAGATGGAAAATATATCTTCTTTGAAGAATCTGCGTATGAATCAAAACCAATGCCAAATGATCAAAATTAATATCAACATACACTTAGGTTCATATTTGCATTCAACATCAATGTTTGCCAACAAAAAAAGTCTTCATTTAAAAGGCAGATTTTCTAAAAACGGTTTAATGTCTTTTAACTGTTTAGAATTGCTTTAGTTTAATCTTTAAACATTTGAAATGATTCAAATGTCAAAATATTTTAAGTACTCTGCTTTCGTCTTACTGTAGAAGGTTGGGATATTTGCTTCGTTTGTCGTGTAGCAGATTCTTGAAACTATATTTAATCTCGTACTAGGTTCGCTGAATTATTGAAATTACCGATGCAATACATGCTGCAATCCATTGCTATGATACTGAAGGTAGCGACACTTCTTAAAAGTATAACAATTTTATTCACATAAAAAGTTTGTCTTAAGTAACAGCGGGAAGTCTTCGCTCAGTGATGGAAAAGATACCGTTTCTACCAGATGGCAAACTGGTCCATCAATGGTGAAGATTGTCCAATTTATATTTTTACTCTTCATTCACCAAAACTTATGTCGTCTAACTCCTGTTTCATTTCCAGAATTATTGAACAGTTTTAGAATAATAGTACGCTTTTATAGTCCTGTCGTTCACTTTTGTTAAACCTGTTCTCATAATTAATTCCATTCTCTTAATGTATGGTAATACTAAAGTCATTAGACAGGAAATTGTTTGCTTGAAACTCTGCCCTGAGCAAGGTATAGTACATGAAACTAAAACATAAAAATCGATGCATTTTTGCGAGAAGCTACTAAATTGTTTGCTTGAAACTCTGCCCTGAGCAAGGTAAATATTTTCTAATGAGTGATACTTCTGTATAATTAAAAGATAAATTATTTATAGGCTATGTCAATTTTTGGAAAGTGTATCTTTCCTTCTTTTATCAAATATTTTTTCGTATCTTAAAAATTTTCGGATGAACTGTTTTCATTAAAAAAAAAAAAAATTTAGTTCATCAGCTGATTTGAATACAGAAACCCAAATGTTTTCAAGTAGAAGGGAGATTGTAACTGAATATGATGTATTCTCCTCTTGATAACGTTGTATCAGATTTAATTGAATTCCTGTTCTTTATTTTTCTGATTTGGGTACATATTTTAGTAATTTTTAGGTTTTAATTTCACATTTCTTCAATTCTTATTTTTATATTTATAGGATATTTTTTTAATTTATTGGTATTAAATTTCACTTTTTTGGAGATTTTGTGTAAAATAGGTTCTAAATTTCTTATTTTTTTTTCTCTATATTGATTAATTTTCAGCAGTCTATTGCGCGAAAATACTTTTAATAACTATGCTTTTAAACAGAAAATTTTTGTGATATATATATATATATATAAATTCAGCTATATTATTTCGATAAAATAATAAAATATTTACATATTTTTACATACGGGAGTTTTATTGTGTCTATTACGAAAATACAATTATTATTCACTTTCTTAGGAATTTGAAAACTTAATTAAAAATCTTTAGACAATTTCACATGTAACAAAAGGAACCGGAAAGCAATGAAACGAGAGCCTACATAAACGTATTCAGGAGAAATCAATCAACGTATAATCGACAATCAAGAATAAATTAATTTTAAAGTATAGCGCACATTATAAAAGTGAGAAATCAATTTATATTTACTGTTAAATAATATAAGTAAAATGGAATTAATGTTAAAATAATTAAGTTATTTTTCTTCAGAACAGTTTCTGTGCTGTAATTAATATTTAATAATTTTGAACGAACTCAAATAATAAAAGTATTTTTCATGTTTAAAAGCAACTAAATTAAAAATAAACGTAAGCTAATTTTATCAAAAAATATCAGTAAATAGTTATTTAGGGAAAGGTGAAATTCTAACAAGGTATTACCTAAAATGGACTTTTAAAGATGAAGATAATTCAAATACCGGCATATGCTAATTGTACTTTTCTCCGCAATAAAAATCCATTAACTAGTTTAATGTCTGTCATTGTAAAATAAAGTTCCTCTTATCATCCATCAGTAATCCTTAGCAAGTATGAAATTATACACCGTTATCTACTGCAGAAAGGTCTTTAAACCACTCAGTGTAAGTCATTAAACATATTATCTTTCAGTTAAAAAACTGATTTCTAAGAATCAGTGCTTAAGAAGCCATTATACGTTGCAAGATATCAAATTTTACTTTAAGTGCATTTCAAAATGCTTTAAATGTATACTCATAACATACGCATTTCAAAACTTTCTTATTCAAATTGTTATGCATTATTTCAAAATTGCATTTACCGTCTGGCATACATATAGCTCATGCTATCCAGTATTACTTTTCAAAACAGCTGATAGATGGCGCCACCATCATAACCAGTATAGCGTAAGTAAATATTTCCAAGATATTTTAAAAAGAATTCGCTTAATTAAAAAAAGCAAAATTTTGCAATATTTTTTCTAAGATAAGCTTTTTTTTTTTTTTACTTTAGTTTCCAAAATGCCCTTTTTATAATTTTATTTCACTCTTTATTCATAAGAAGATAACAAAAGGTAAAAAAAATGTTAGTGAAATGCTAGAAATGTTAGCGAATGCAAGAAAAAATTTTAATCTTTGAAATAAAAATTACTGAGTAAATAAATGTAAATGAGATGGCCGCATTTATAAGCGCTTCAAATAGCACACAGGAACAAAAAGAAAGTGAAAATAAGAATGAAGATAAATAAAAAGCGTCAGTACTATTAATAGGAAAAAAACTCAAAAATGTAGAATTTAAAACTCGGGAAAAAAAAAAAAAAAAAAAAAAAAAAAAAGACCTTAATTTGTTTTAGTTAGCATTTTTTTTGTTTATAGATAAGGCTTTGCATTTGATCACCCTCGAAATTAATACAGCTTTATTCGAATCCTCCCCAGATTGAGATTCCTTGTTTACGTACTTTTATCTCTAAAATGAAATTAACAACCAGTAGTATCAATATCCTTCTGCTAATAAGTTAGTTAGAAATGTTACGCTTTAAAATTTCAACGTCTCTGAAAATGATAAATCTTCAACTATTCAAAATGGTTAAACTGTTGGTTAAGAGTTTATCCATCTTGCAACCTATCAGAAAGTACCTTTGGAAAACACTTTAGGAAACAATCTTAAAAATGAGGAGGGAGTATCGTGCAAGCTCAATTCAACTTTAAAAAAAATGTAAAGCATCTGAGGCGCCGCTTTAAGGTTAACACCTTTATCTTTACTTGATTAAATATCTAAAAAAATTAAAGATTGCAAAACAATGGTATGTGTTAGTATAATATAAGACATTCTACAGCTCCATGGACTAGGCCTGTGCACTTAGTCTCTAAAAATCCCCTGTGAAGACTCTTTCGCCCCTCCGAAGACTATAGGAGAATTAATGATATCACTATTTTTGACAGAAATCCCATTCCTAGAATTAATGATTTAAACTACACTTTAAAAAGTAAGAAAGTTTTTTTTTTTTTTTTAATTGATCTAACAAAGCAGATTTCAGAATTCCTATAGACGCAGAGGATAAACAGGAAACCGCCGTGATAACAGCCTGACTGCATTTTATGATTTAAGAGCTAATGAGCTTTGGATTGCGAAATGCACGAGCTACCTCTCGTAGATTTTCTATGAAGTATTAAGGTTTGGACTTACTCTTCCATATCTAGATGACATATTAATTACGTCTTCTTCAGAAGAACACCGACATCACCTGAAACTTCTTTCCAACAGATTAGATAAGTACAGCTTGAGAATTAACATATCTACGTCGATCATGAGTGTTGATAAATTGGAATTTTTAGGATATCTTATAATGCCGGAAGGAGGTCCTCCTCCAACTGAAAACGTAGAAGCAATGTTGAACTATCAGTTACCAAAGAATACCCATGACCTGCGGACGCTTCTAAGGACGCTTGCTTTTTAACAACTGTATTGGAAAGATGCTGCTGACACGCAAGCAGTATTTCATGAATATCTAAAGGATTCTAAGAAATAGGACAGAAGAAAATATATATATATAATTCATATTTTATATTACGCTCAAAGGGGCGTTTTTTTAACGTTCTGCGTATTACCTTTATTTATTAAATATCATGTTCTTCGCTCTTAAACCATAAAATTCAGTTCAGCAGAAATACCGCAAAATAATTTTAAAATAACATATCTTTAGTATGGTACACAGTCTCGTGCGCTTGAGATAAAAATGTTTTTCCCGTATAATGTTGCTATTGCTCGCTTTGAAATCTTTCAGTTTGTTAATCAAAAATTCGCTATATACAAAATATAAAATCGATAATTAAACAAATTCCAAATTTGGGCTTCCAGAGGCCCATATTCGGGTGGAAACGTACATTATTCAAAATTTGATGGCTCTAGGTGCCGTTTTTTGATCACAATGCGAGAAACATACAGACAGTTATGCAGATTCTTCATTATTTAATTTCTTTAAATATAATACAGAGCTCTAATATTTGGTGGCAACAATTTGAAAAGTGAATCACCGCAAAATGCCAAAACAAAATTAATAGTCCTTCTGGGCAAATTGCCCTTATGGACTAAAAATTA